GTACTTGAAAAGAGAACGGAACGTCAGAACCTGCCTCGGATGACGGCGCCAGCGCTGCCCGAGGGATAAATGACTTTATTTCGCAGGCAGCTGGCGGAGTGCAAGCGGAACGGAGGCCCGACGCGGAGCCCGGCTGGCCCCGGGCCCACGGCTGCGGCCTGGCCAGGCCCCAGGGCAGAGCCTCCCTGCCCTCGCAGCCCAACGCTCCCGCAAACCTCGGGGGCGCGAATCCCCTCGCCGTGGCCTCCATCATCGATAACGGCGTTAAACAGAGCTGGCCCCAGTACGGAGCCCTGGGGACGCCACTGGTGATCGGCTCCCAGCTGGGTTTGACTCCATTCACCGCAGCTCCTTGGGCCCAGCCGGTTTTTTACGCAGTGAAGCGTTCGCCCGTCCGCGCCCTGAGCAGCCGGTTTCTCCAGGAAAACGCTGTGGGAAACAATGTCAAAGGCTTTACTGAAGTCCAACATCCACGGCCTTTCCCTCGCCGACCAAGCGGGTCATCGAAGCAGACCATGGCGGTCAAGCGATACCTGCCGTACCACCCCCGGCTTGGATTTCGGGGCTCGGATTTACCTTTCCAAACCAAATTCCAGTCCTTCTCTCCTCCTGCGCTCCCGCCGAAGAAACCCGTCCCTTTATTTTCCCTTTCAAACGCAGCTTTCGCCTGCTGCGAAGGGTTGCAGAGCTGACTTCGGGCTGCGCCGCTGCGGGCAGGGTGAATCGGGGCGAGTACCTCGGGAGGTTCACAGGAGGGAGACGTTCAGCCCGAAACCGGAGCACGGCGTAAATCCCGTTCGCTTCGTACTCACCGATCGCTTCCCGATAACCCGCGGGGAGCGGATCATCTCCCTCCAGAGCACAAAAACACTTCATTTTTAGTATTTTTTCAGGCGTGATGCTTTTTCTGCTACGTTTTTATATGCTAATTTTGCTTTTTACCCGCCAAATCACGCCGATTTTGGAGCACGCTTCCGCGCCTGGTTAGCGCGGAGAGCGGAGCAGCGGCAATAAGCTCCGGTTATCAGAGCAAAAACCAGGTTTAAGATTAAATTCAGTCGATAATCCCCGCTCACGCCTGTCCCAGCTTCTCCTTGCACGTGCTGCGGTCCGGCGAGACCGGCTTCGTTTTGCTGCTTGGGTATCCTAAACCTCGTGCGTTTTCTAAAAGCGGGATTTAAGTGTTTCTGTTTTCTTGGAATTAAAGTTGCTGCGGGTGGATCCAGCGCCGCGAACGTCGCTGTAACTTGCGGCCGGCTGCCTGCGCGATAGAAATAATTGGGTTTAATATCTTTAGTTAAACGTCACCAACTCAAAATAGATTAAAATCCGTTTTTATTTCAGCAGTTCACCGTCCAGGGCGGGTAGATAACCTCAAAGTAACTATTTAAAAAAAAAAAAACCCTATAAAATTACCTTATAGCTTGAGAATGCTCATTTCTCAGGGTTTTTTTTAAAGATTTATATTTTATTGTTTTTATTTAAGCTGAGGCAAGAGAGGAGGAGCATCGAGGGTGGCTTCTTGCGAACGCAGCCGCTCTCATCTTCTGATCTCGGAGCGCCTCCGTCGGTCGCTCCGCTGAGGCGGGCGGCAGAGTCGCCTTCAGCCGGATACGTCCCCGATCAAGCGAATCCTCGGCGCGGTTTCTTTTCCGGCGGCTCTGCTCCTGCGCATCCGCCTCTTATTCCGATCTCAAACATCTGCCTTTTTCAGCCAGCCTGAAATAATCCCTCTTCCTGCATCAAAACCAGCATTTTGTGATGGTTTCCTTGCTCGTGCCGCCCTCTTCGAGTCGTTAGGAGATATTTTTTCCCCCCTTAGGATATTTTTCCGGAGGCTGGTGCTGCGACAGCCCAACGTGTGTCCCCGGTTATTCATTTCTCCTCCTTTTCACCTGGAAAATATTCCCAAACGGAACGCGCCCACCATCCCTCCTTCTTCGCTGTCCTCCGTCGCTCTCGGACCCGTTGCCTTCCTCCATCCTCGGCACCCCCCTCTTGGGCTTTGCCCCCGTCGCCGCTCGGGCGGGCTGGATTTTCGGCGACGCTTCGTTTTTGCCCTCCACGGAGCCAGGCCTTTCTCTTCCTTCTGCGTCCCGACCGCCGCTTCGCGCCCCGCAACGCCCTCAAACTCATTCCCTTGTGATTCCTCTGCCGTGGCCGGTCCCCGTCTCTGCTGACCTCCTCCTCCAGGCCCGTGGCCGCCTTCCCTTTTATCCCATCAACCCGGTGAATTTTCCAGACCCGTTTCTCCATTTTCCCCCCCCGATATCCTCTCTGCTCACCCCCATCTCCCCCAGCTCAGCGTTGGGGTGGAAGAAGGAGCGGTTCTTGGCCTCCTCCTGGCCTGGCAGTTCCCTCTGCCGGCTCCCGCTCCGCATTACAGCCCTTTCCCTTCCCGCCTCTTCCTCGGGGAAAAAAAAAAAAACGGGATTTTTGTTGGCAGGCGGCCTTAAAATCACGTGGATCCAGGGAGCGCGGTGCCGGTGAACTCGAGCCTCTCCACGCCAGATACCGTCCCGGCGAGCTCCGTCCTCCCGCGTCTCGTTTCTACCTTTACCTAACGAAGCGCGTAAGCGTTAATGGCAGTAATCAAGTAAGCGTTTCTCCCGATTTTTCCCCACCTTGCCGTGAATAACGGCGTCGGCTTCGGCCGAACGGGAAGGTCCGGCGCGGGGCGCGTCGGTCTGGCTCTTACCGGCGAGGTTAACGAAGGCTTGCGGTCACCGCGTCACGAGATGGTGCTAGCCGCGGGTATCGTTGATCTACAGATTAATTATTTTCTTCTCATTAATTGCTTTCCGAAGCTTTAAGAGGTGAGATTAAAGCGCTGCTACGTTAGGGTAAGAAAACCCGAGCGTAGCGCTACCTATAGCACAATCTCTAATGCAGATTAGATTTCTGATCTAATAGATTAGATTTCTAATCTATAATCTAGATTTGATTAAGAAAACCCGAATTTAACACCATCTTAATCTATAGATTAAGAAAACCTGAACACAGCACCGTCTTTAGCACAATCTGGAATAAAAATTAGATTTCTAATCTAATCTAATCTAATCGAAATCAGATTAGATTTCTAATTTATAATATAGATTTCGAATCTATAATCTAGATTAGGTTAAGCAAACCCAAATTTAACACCATCTTAATCTGTAGATTAGGAAAACCTGAACACAGCACCATCTATAGCACAATCTAGAATACAGATTAGATTTCTAATCTAATCTAATCTAAACCAGATTAGATTTCTAATTTATAATATAGATTTCGAATCTGTAATCTAGATTAGATTAAGAAAACCCGAACACAGCACCATCTATAGCACAACCTATAATACGAGTTAGATTTCTAATCTAATAGAGATTAGATTTCGAATCTATAATCTAGATTCGATTAAGAAAACCCAAATTTAACACCATCTTAATCTATAGATTAATCTTAATCTATAGATTAAGAAAACCCAAACGTAGCACCGTTTATAGCACAATCTAGAATACGGCTTAGATTTCTAATCTAATCGAGATTAGATTTCTAATCTAGAATACAGATTTCTAATCTATAATACAGATTTCTGTCTAATCTAGAATATAGATTTCTATTTAATCTATAATATAGCTATATAATCTTAATCTAATCTATAATATAGATTAGTCTAATCTATATCTAATCTAAATATATATATTTTTATATATAGTATATAATAAGATATCTCATCTAAATCTATATAATATAGATTAGATTAAAAGCCCCGAATTTAACACCATCTTAATCTTTAACACGAATTAAACACCATCTTAATCTATAGATTAAGAAAACCCCAACGCAGCACCATCCATAGCACAATCTGGAATACAGATCAGACATCTAATCCAATCTAATCCCGACCACGTTTCTAATCTAGACCGCAGATTAGCTTAAGAAATCCCACCCGTAGCACGTTACAGCTTAAGAAAGGCCTAACCTAGCGTCCGTGCTCCAGGTTAGCTTTACAGGTGTGCGGTAAAGCCTGGCTTGACGTCCTCCACCCTGCAGCTCTTCCCGTCTCGCTGCCGATTTTTACCGGCAGAGGCGGCACAGCTCCATCAACCCCCGTTTCTCTGAACTCCCCGACGTTTCTCTTCCCTCTCCCAGATCCTCCGTACCAATAATTGTAGGTTTTTTTCCGCGATATCCGTATTTCTGGCGAGAGGCCGGGGCTGAATTGGGGCGAGAGCGCGCTCGCCTTTAGGTCGAGTCGGGCTGCGAGCCCTCGGCCCCTCGGGACGCGCCGAGCAACGGTTCAAAATTGCCGTTTTCTGATTTTGGGGTGATATTTTGACACGCGGGTGGGTCGATAACGTAAGAGAGGAGCCGTAACGTAACCGCAGGGCGGGGGAGAGAGCCAAAGCATCCTCGTCTTGGGGAAGAAAAGAGAAAAATGGTGCGAATCGGAGTATTTCCAGCTAATCCGTTAAAAAAAAAAAGCCGTTAGGGTTTGAGGAGACGGGTAGGATCCCTCCAAAGGAGCGAGAAGAGAGTGAAAAAGATACGGGATAAATGAAATAAGTGAAAATAAAAGGGTAAATCTGATATAATATTTAACCGCCGGGACGGGCGGTTAGAGCCTTGGCTCTTAAGTGGAAGGGGAAGAAATTAAACCGATGATGAAATCTTTTCCCTTCTTTTAAAAAAAAAAAAAAAATCCCGGCTCCTTGGCTTCCTTTTACGCTCGGGGAGAGCTGTTGTGCGGGGAGGGAGCAGGAAGAAATCAGGTGGGCGCAGCCCTTGCCGTGAGGAATTTCAGGAAGGAGCTTACCCTAAAGGTGGAAAAATACCTGGGAAAAACTGAAAATACCGGTGCCGCTTCCTCGGTTTTTCCGTAGGTGTCTCGCGTTCGCAGGTGTCCGTAGACTCTTTGCTTCGCTGGGCTACGGATGGACGTTAAAAAACGAGGTAGCCTTCGTTTCTGATGCCTTGGGTTGATGCCTCAGATTAATTGCTTTGTTTGTTTCATCAGATACAGTATCTAAAGGCATTTGTGCCTGAAGCCACGGAAGATAGATGGACAAGCCAAGCAACTTCTGACTCTGCATCATTTTCTGGGGCAAAATTATATGGCAATGTATCCTACAAGGTAACGTAGCCCCTTGCAGTGAGTAAAGAGGATTCCTTTTGCTTGGCCACCACTCCGTAAGAGCAGTTTCTCACTCGAGAGCTTCCCTTTTCACTCCTAGAGGAATCAGCACCACCCCGAAGCAAAATTCGAGGAATTTTGCAAGCGAGGGAAATCCCAAATTGCCTCCAAATCGTGTCGTGGTCGAGTTAAATCTCCCTTGCGGAGAGCGGGCAGGCCACCCTGCTAACGGGGAAGAAAATCAGGAGCAAAATGAAAGCTGGGAGGAGAGAGGTTTCGCCGGGCAGCTGAGCTAACAGCTCTCCGGACGCGATACTCCCGTATCCACAGCTATAAAATCTCCCGTAAAATATCCCGGGCGAAGGAAGGGAGTCTGCCGCAGCAATCTTGCCGCTTGAGCGACGCTTCAACTCGCTGAAAAGTTAAAACCCATCATCTAAAGACCAAAATCTAACGTTGCCCTGGCGCGTTAGTGGGTCGGTGTTGGGTTTAGGCCAGTAGAAAGCAAGGGACCGCAGACTTTAAGCAGAGGTTTAAGACCGGCTGAGGTTTTACGGGGACTCGGAAGCAGTTGAGGGACGCGGCAGGTAAAACGGCACGGACGCTTCATCTCTCCGGCTCTTCGTCCCTTGCTGCGGTCCGTGCCGAGACCGCGTCTGCGCGTCCAGACCACGACCGGAGACACGGGGCTGCTCTACGGCAGCAGAATAAAAACCCAAACCCGTGTATACGGCTCGTCGTGCGCATATACGCGCCTATAGATACTTATATACTGACTCAAGGCCAACCATACGTGCTGAAATTTGCTCCGCCGAGGTTAATGCCTCGGTGCCGAGTGGGATTTTTCCAGATCCCGCAGGGCTGGCAGTCCTAAACCAAATCAGTTCTGCCCCAGCTGAGAGAGCACTCGATAACCCCACGAGTGGAGAGATGGGAAACGTTTTCTTCCTCACTTTTCCCCCGGGTATCACTCGAAACCGGTGAATAACGAGGCTCTTAATTCATCTCGCACCATATAGCGTGGTCTTCTCTAATTAACAGCTGCAGGTCTTAAGCTTAACGTGCGCTACGTGTGCTCAGCGTTAAATCAGACGAAGGCCGCACGTCACGGAGGGTGTCTTTACACGAGGAAGGTCCCGCCCGCCCAGCGAGGGTGGGGATTCACCACGTGGCGGTGGGGAAGCCGCCGGTTGGCGGTGGGGAAGCCGCCGGTTGACGGCGGCTGGTCCTGGCTCGGCGGTGACCCCTTCACGCAGCTGTAGCTTAAGAGGACGGACGGGCTGCGTGGGGTCTTTGGAGGGCTCTGCAACAGGCCCTGGGAGAAGCCCAGAAATGCGTTTTTGCCCAAGTTTCTGGTCTTCAGAATGATATTTAAATTATCTCCCTAAAGATTATCTCTCTAAACTATCTACCAAAGTTATCTACTTTAAGATTATCTACCTAGATTATCTACTTTAAGATGATCTACTTTAAGATGATCTACCTAAAGATCACCTACCTAAAGATCACCTACCTAAAGATCATCTACCTAAAGATCGTCTGCCTAGATTATCTACCTAAAGATCGTCTACCTAGGTTCTCTACCTAAAGATTATCTACCTAAAGATTGTCTACCTAGATTATCTACCTAAAGATTATCTACCTAGGTTCTCTACCTAAAGATTATCTACCTAAAGATTGTCTACCTAGATTATCTACCTAAAGATTGTCTACCTAGATTATCTACCTAGATTATCTACTTAAAGATTGTCTACCTAGGTTCTCTACCTAAAGATTGCCTACCTAAAGATTATCTACCTAAAGATTACCGATCTAGATGATCTACCTAGATGATCTACCTAAAGATGATCTACCTCGATGATCTACCTAAAGATGATCTACCTAAATTATCTACTTAAATTAACTACCTAAAGTTATTGTCTACCTAGATTATTAACTACCTAAAGTTATTATCTACCTAAATTAACTACCTAAAGATTATCTGCTTAAATTAACCACCTGAAGTTATTATCTACCTAAATTATCTACCGACAGCAGATAGTGTGAATTAAACGTGGGTCTGTCCACTGCATGGTTCAGTTGAAGCATTGGGGGGGGAGGGGGCTCCTGAGCAGCTGAAAGGAGATGAAGGCGTCACCCTGCGCTCCTTTAGCTGGAGCTAAAAGTTGGCCAACGCCAACTTAATGTCTCTTCCCGGTGGTGGCGAACCCAACCCTGGAGCTGAAGCGTTTTGCTCGTTAAGAGCCTCGTTTGCGAGGCAACGGAGACTCTTTATGGAGACCGTCGGAGTCCTCGTTGCCCAGATTAGGCAAGAACGGGGGTAAAACTCACGCTCGCTAAGGAGCAAGGTGAGAAGAGGCAGCAAATTCCCTCAGAATACTCTTTCTTACCCCGGGATGCGGAACGCTGACATCATTTGTTGGGACGACACAACGCTGTCACTAAGCAAGCGGGGCGGCGCAAGGTCTAGTTGCCTGAGCTAGTCCGCCGGTTTATTTTTAAGCAACGCCTTGTACCAAAAGCCTAGGATTGAAGTGACCTCGTCTCCCTTCGTGTTTTGCAGGGTGTCCGGTGAGGAATGCAATGGGATCAATAGCATGTCGGCGGAGAGCGGCCCTGGAACGAGACTGAGAAATTTGCCGGTAATGGGGGATGGACTAGAAACCACCCAAATGTCTACGACGCAGTCCCAGGCTCAACCCCAACAAGGCAGTGCTGTAGGCGTTAATCCCCCTCCGCCGGAGACCTCCAACCCCAACAAACCCAAGCGACAGACCAACCAGCTGCAGTATCTGCTCAAGGTGGTGCTGAAGACGCTATGGAAGCACCAGTTTGCGTGGCCTTTCCAGCAGCCCGTGGATGCCGTCAAGCTGAACCTCCCTGTAAGTAGAGGTCGAGAGACCAGGCGATGGTTCTTGGTGGAAGGAGTGAGACCGTTGGGGTCTGGTGCCTGCTGCCACCCTTCTGAAATCACAGAATCCATCTTTAACGGTTGGCCTCGATGATCGAGCGGTTGGCCTCAGTGATCTAGCAGTTGGACCTGATGATCTAATGGTTGGTCTTGATGATCTAACAGTTTGATTCGATCTAAGGGTTGGCCTTGATGACCTAACGGTTGGCCTCGATGACCTAACGGTTAGCTTCGATGACCTAACGGTTGGTCTCAATGATTTAATGGTTGGCCTCGATGACCTAACGGTTGGTCTCGATGACCTAACGGTTGGCCTTGATGACCTAACGGTTGGCCTCGGTGATCTAATGGTTGGCCTCGGTGATCTAACAGTTGGCCTTGATGATCTAACAGTTGGACTCGATGATCTAACGGTTGGCTTTGATGATCCAACGGTTGGCCTAGATCTAACAGTTGGCCTCAATGATCTTAAGGATCTTTTCCAACCTAAATGATTGCATGATTCTATAATCTTTTAGACAATACACGCATGAGGAGGAATCCCCACTGGCTCAGCTACTGCTTTGCCCTTTACCACCCTCCTCTTTCCGCTGGGACGTGGAAAAGAAAGTAGGAATAATACTTCAGGAGGCAGGGAGGGTGAGTCTGCAGTCCTCCGTCCCCCAGCCAAGCACCAAAAATGATTAAGCACCAAAAATGATTAAGCACTAACAATGATTAAGCACTAAAAATTATTAAACACCAAAAATTAAGCACCAAAAATGATTAAGCACCAGAAATTATTAAGCGTCAAAGATTATTAAGCACTAAAACTTATTAAGCGCCAAAAATTATTAAGCATCAAAGATCATTAAGCAAATCGTCTGTCAGCTCAGGCTCTGCCTTATTGCTCGCCAAAGCCCAGCACATTTTTCTGTGCCTCGCTTAAACCCTGACTTGATCTCCGCTGCTTTATCAGAGTCTTTTTTTTGAGATTAAAACACTTGGAGCTTCTCACAAAGCATCCAAGTACTCAAACGACCGCTGCGCTTCTCGTGCCTTGTGGCGCTGTCGGTAACACGCGCCTCGTTTTGTAAGGGATGCCAATTTTAAGTTAATTTGCAGTAAATCGAGGGGATCGAGTGCCCCCTCGGTCGGTTTGCCACCGCCCGCGAGCGGGGTGGGAGCGTTGGGCTGCGAGGGCAGGGAGGCTCT